TCGCCCCGTCCCTCCCTCCCTCCTCACTTCGAAACCCGTCTTATCCGTGATAGAAGAGCCGCCTAATTTGATGATGACCACTTTCTGCTTCGTGTCCTTTCCATGTCCATTACATTCAATGTTGATGGCGTCTTTATTGCTGGCATTGACTAAATTAGGATGTATCGAGGGACCGGCCATACCTCCCCTAGGAATTTGAGGAGGCGAGAGAAGTTGAGTGCGGAGGAGAAAGGACTGTGTGGGCAAGAAAAGCGCCTCCGGTGTCAGTACATGCCAGTGTGGGGTTTTGGCGTCCACAATATCGCAGTTGGTCAGTGCAATCGAGCGTTGTTCTTATTTCTTGTGTCGAAAAGAAGTAAAGGATGGAGGTTGCATGCAACGGATCGACCCGTTTATCTTTCCAACTCGTGGCAGGACATGACCAACGAGCCATCTCATCTTCTCTCGGACTCGTCGAAAACCGAGAGGGCACACGTTTCTGAGCGCCATGCCTCAAAAAGATACCGCATTTTAATCATCCACACGCGTTGTTGCTTAATCATGGGGTAATGATGGAAGATCGCGTTGGGTGGGGTTTAAGCGATCGGATCATCAAAAAATGTGATAAAATACTCTAATTTTGACGACTTTCGACACACGAAGCAGTCATTCGATCGCACCAGCTTCCTCTCCTGATCCAATTCGTAACAGTGAAGTGCGTCCCAGTCAAGGAACGGGTAAAATTCTGGTTATGTTAAAGGTGTGGAGCGCTTTGGCACTAAGAGGGCTGGGGATTTACTCCCAGTGTGAGAAAAACCACATGTTTGCACAGGCCCATCAGAACATTTGCACACGAAAATAAGGATGGCTGATGGGGGTGTGGTGTTAATCGATTAAGGGCTGCGGCGAGAAAAGAAAGGAGGGAGGGGCACGCAAGGAAGTGGACAAAGCCCATCGTCGCACGTAGAGGAAGCTTGTACGGGCAGGCGGACCTCTAGCTAGTATAATAATGATAAGTGTTTTTTAGGCCCACAGTGATGTTCAATACACTTAAATTGCCCACAGTGACGTCCAAAGCGTTTTAAATGTGTAATTAGAAGAAAATAAGGAGAAAATGGGCGGGGGCGAAGTGTTCTCAATGGAAGCTTAATGGACTGAACGTTCGAAAAAGGAGAGAATGATGTGTGAGACGAGGAAAAATGAAAGCAATGTACATACGTATATAGGCATCCAATGGGACAAACCAGCTCTTGTACATTAAATTCCTTCACACCAGCCCGTTCCATGAATTTGCATTTCTCCGTGTCGCCACCATTATCATTCCCCTGCCCCTCTATACTGCCTGTTATCTTGCCCTTCCATTCCCGCCTCACCCCGTCCAGGAAAAGCCGAAGAATTCAATTTTTAATAATTAATTATTTAGATCCTGGGGGATGCAACCCTAGGCTTTCAGGCCTTCTTCACTCATCGTCTTGGACATACTTACATACTGCCACCGCGATGCGTGATGACAGGCCAACGCATGGTCCCCGCTGTGCGTTTTTGGAGGTCCTTTGACAACCAGATTCCTGCACAAATCACTTGCAAAGTCCGAGGTATTGCATGTGTTTCGGGTCGCCGTCGGCACTTGTGAGGTCATTTTTTATTCCTACGTGTTTTTTTATAGGGGCTTCCCTCCTTGACCTCACGCTCATATACCAGGCCTGACTGTGCATGCGTGAACATACCTGTATAGATACATAGACATTATCCCCCTTCCATTCCCCCACTTCATCTGAGTGAGGAGCCACGTTTTCCTTCGAGAAGGACCTTGTGAGCATCCATCATAGCACCGCCGACAGCGGCCGTTATTCCACAC